ATCAGTCTGTGAACTGGGTTGCTCTGTTTAGCAAGTCACTTGGAAAAAGTTGGGGAGCTTAAGATCATGGAATCTGACTTCCTAAGAAACATTCACTTGACAATAGGCTACTGAATGCTCTTCTGCTCTTTCACCACGAAGAGGGAACAAGCAAGAATATATTCTAAGTTGGTAAGACTGGTATTGTTATCAGAATCCTTGGCCAGAGGCTGAACTCTGGGAATCCCAACAAATCAGGTCTGTCTAGTTGTCCTAAAAATCAAACAGAAAAGGCCATGGTGAAAAGCAGGGGAGGAAATTTAATCTCTGTGCTCACATTGGGAAAACAAAGTGAGATCAAACATCTTAACCCTGTCTTAGGGCACTGACGAGAACTTTAGGTTGAAATAGGTGGAGAATTGGGAGAAAGAGGTGAGAGGTGAGAGGTCTGTACAACTCAATAGTCCTGGTCTAACTGTGATCTGGTTGGTCATTATCCTAGTTCTTGTTCTGTGAGGTGGCTCTGGAGAAGTCCTTATTTTTTTAAGGCTCAGTCTCCAATTGCTGCTCCGTAGATTTGTCTCTCAGACCTGTGACCCTGAAAGGGCAATTAGGTTCCAGTGAGATGATTACTCCTGCTTAGGGGACAGTGTCATCTTGAGGTGATGTGCCTGCATGTTTCTGCTGTTCCTGCAAGATGTAGGACAATGACTTATGACTTCTAGGCCCCACTCTAGGGAGCTGGAAAGCTGACAATTGAATGTCCTTGTGTCTTGAAAATACCTTTGCTACTCTTATCATGGTGTTCTTGTCTGGAATGGGGATGAGATAGATTAGGTAAAGTTAGTGCTAGTAAACCATGTATTACTAGTTTTTAGATGAAAACTCCTTAAATGATTAATATGCTACATGCAGAGCAGAGCAGATTCTGAAGACACAAAATAAAGACAGAGATGCCAAGCTTTATTATGCTTTTACTTACCGGTTTAGCATCTGCTGGCCCAAATGAAGAGTCACTGCTTTTTAGCAAAAGCAACTTCTAATTCTCTGTTACAGTAAATGCAATAAGAACAAACCAATCCCAACGTAAGGATTGGAAGTGAGAAGGAAAGTACTAAGATTTTATGATTACTCAATAAATATCAACTATTTTTAAGCTGCAAATGGAGTATTGTCTATCATCTTCCACCTAAAAGGTGAAGAAATGAGGTTTAACAAGGTTAAGTGATGTCCCTGTAATCGCACCAAGGTGACTGGTAACACCTTTATTTAAACATAGCTTTGTTTGCCTCCAAGACTTATGCATTTTCTTTTATTTTATTACCTAAGCATTTTGGAAAAAATAAATAAATATGGTCATGGAACAAATTTAAAAAAAGGTATAGGAAAAAGTAAATTGTGATATTTTACTTATAATATTGGCCATAATTGTGCACAAAGTGCAGCAAAAAGACTGGAAATAAAGTAAGCCATTTTCTTTACAAGGGTTTCTTGTTAGAGATAGGCTTAGACTGGGGTTTGCTAGAACCGACGAGCAAAGGCCTAATGTCAAATATTCAGGAATTTTGAGAGCTAGTAGTTAAACTGTTGTTAGCTTGATCATGACCATGATTTTGACTGGGGAGTTTGCAACATGGGAATTGGCAAAGGTTCTCCCCGTCCACCACCAAAGCCATTTCAACAGCACAATACTCAGTGCTCAAGTCTTCCCTGCTTTTGCATATTGTGTTTTTAGTTCAGCCTTTTCTACAATAGCATAAATTATCCTATGACCAAGAAAAAATGAATATGAAAAAGAGTTAATAAAAGATAAAATTAAATTAAACCAAACCCAGACTAACCCAAAGTGGTTTCTAGAAAGTCTGTGATGATCTGGATATGGTTTTCCTTCACTCTGGTTGCTATAGTCTGAATACTGTGTCCCCTCAAAGTTTATATGTTGAGATTCTAACTTCCAAGGTGATTGTGCATTGGGGCCCTTGGGAGGTGTTAATGATGGGGTCAATCCTTTGTGAATGGGATTGGTTCACTTATAAAAGAGGCCTAGGGGAGGGCTGAGGTTGTAGCTCAGTGGTAGAGCGCTCTCCTGGCATGTGTGAGGCACTGGGTTCAATTCTCAGCCCCACATATAAATAAATAAAACAAAGGTCTATCAACAACTAAAAAATATCTTTTTTAAAAAAAGAGGCCTGGAGGAGAACCCTTTCCCCTTCTGCCATGAGGACATAGCTATAAGATGCCATCTGTGAACTAGAAAACAGGTTCTTACCAGACACTTAATCTCCAGGTCCATGAGAAATAAATGTTTGCTATTTTTTGGCCACCCAATCAATTGTATTTTGTTGTAGCAGCCCAAATGAATCAAGATACTTGCTACTGTCTTTAAAGTCAGGGTTGGTCATGGGTTTAAAGAGAGAGATGGAGCCTCATGTGGGTTCTCAGGGTGCAGCTTCCAGCTCAGCTCTGCCCTGTTCCCTGCAGAATGTGCATGTCATCAACCTAAATAAAGGAGAACAGCTGTGTGCTGGACTGTGGGTCACAGGGCATCATACTTTTCCAAAAAGTTATCCTTGGAAATTTATGTACCCTCTGGCCACAGGTGGTCTTCCAATACCTCGTATGGCTTAGGAAATTTTTGTGCTTTATTTCATTGTATAAATCTAACTCCACGAAGAAAAAATGCTTGATTTAATAGTTTCTGTAAGAGATAACTGACTTCCTCTGCCTCTACATAGAAGATGCAGAGTGAGGAAGTTGAATCCTTCTGCCTAAGCAGCAAAGCCACACAAAGGTCACTCTCCATCCCCCAACCCGTACATACATGGTTATGCTTGGCAGGTGCACACAGCACATGCTGCCAGGCGCATGAACAGAGAGATGCACTCAACAAAGTGCTCCATCCATCTGCCACAGACTTGACATTGACATTCTTATGTGCACATGGCAAATGCCATTATAGCTTTGGTGGGAGATGAGCCAAGGCTGTAACAGGATGCCAGTTGCAATTGTGGAGTAATACGATAAGGAGGCCAGATAAAATAAAACAGGCAGCCTTCCATCCAAAGTCCAGAAGGGCACACAGAGACTTTTCTTTTCAGACCATTGCCTGCCTGGTTTGCTGAGTCACAGCCCCAGCTTCTGTTTTTGGGAAAGGGAGCTTGTATCAAATTATCCTCAACTGGAGAGGCAAAGCAGCTCCATTTGTCCTGGCAACCTTTCTCCTGTTTTACTCATTGGAATTAAAGATTGAAAAGAGCCATTATTTCCTCCTTCCATCCTCTGGGAACTGATGTAAAACAGATTCTTACATTCAATGTTTCTTCTTCCATCTGATTCTAATTAAAATAGCTAAGAAAATATCTATGGCCCAATTTGGAATCATCAGAGCATAGAGTGATGGTGGGTGGCATCAAATCAAATCACCAGTACTTATTGAATAACTACTTTTCATTGAAGTTCTTCTTAGCAGTTCTTTTCTTAGTGGTTCTACTTCTTTAGCTAACTCAGGATCTAACAAATGGTAGCTCATTGATTTGAGTAAATAAAAAATGAGTTTGTAATAACTAATAGTTACTTACTGATAATATGCAGTATATCTGATATTATGTTGTTAATGTTACGATGTCATTTAATTTCCACCACCTGAAGCATAGATATTATCCTCCCATTTTATAAATGAGGACACAGAGAAGCCGAGAAGTAACTTGATAATTTACACCAGGCCCCTTCACTGCTTTTTCAAAATTGGAATTCACCAAAGCTATGCTTTTAAAGCCATGCCATGATGCCTATCCATAATATCTTTATTAAGATTTTTTGACCCACCTTCCCTCAATATTAGTTTCAAAAAATAAATGTGCATTCTTAATAAAAGGAAGAAAGGAAATTATAGAAATTTCTAGAGGAAGAAGCAATTTGTAAAGCATACACTGTGGCTCACACTAAGGATCATAAAAGAGAAGCCCCCTGCCTTCACTGAAAAGGCCTGGAGGATTTAGATACAAGCCTTTTAAGTCTATAATGCTAACCCAATAACACATTGACAGAGCTCATAATTCCAGCCATTTTTTACTGGAAGTGAATACCATGTTTTGCCCCTTACATGAAATTTCTGCTTTGATAGCACAGTGTTTAAAGCAGAGCTCCACACTTTAAATGCTTTGTTTACACCCCTAGCAATGGAAATTCATCCCGGACATTAGTTTCTTTGTTCTTCCCATTAAACACACGTTTTACAGCAAATTCTTCATGTATAATGTTTTTCTCCAACATGCAGGTCAATAAATGCTATCATTACAGAATTAATCATAAGATGATTTGTGAGGACATTAATCCAATTCAATAGAGTCTCCTGAACAAAATTCTGATCTTCAGAGACTCTACTTAATTTTTTAAATTCTGCCATCAAAAGAGTGTAGCAAATGCTGCACATTTATTATGCTCTTTCTCTGTGTGTATTGAAGGTTAATCACATAGTAAGTTTGAAGGCTCCACTTCCCTTATTTCTTTCAACTTTATGAGTTATTACATTGGCCTTTGAGGTTTAAATCAACCTGTGTCAATTGGAATTACAACCTGAATTCCATTTGAGCTTTCTGATTGCACGGGTTTTCTGCTGTAATCAATGACAAGCATGATCTCTAGATGAGATATAAAGAACTGTCTAGGAAAGATTGGTCAAGAGGCTCCTCAAAGTAAAACATCTTCAAATTTAAATTCTATAAACTAAACACCTACTAGGAACACCCTATTGAGTACTTTCTTATGCTCCAAATATTCTGAAGATCTCTCATCTGTATAATTTCTATTGATATGTAATGCATTATTATACCTCATTTTTCAGAAAACAAAGTTATATTTAAAAGTTTATATGAGAGAAAGAGTTGGAATATAAAATAAGGGTTATCTTGCCTATGGTCTTCCAACCATTCTACATTGGAAAGTAAAGTTAGCAAACTATGGACCTGGGGCTTGCCACCTATTTTTATGAATAAAGTTTTATTGTAACATAGCCATACCCATTTGTTTATGGGTGTCTTTATTAAAAGTTATCTATGACAACTTTTGCAATACAATGAGAGCTGAGTAGTGTGACCAAAACCATATGTCCCACAGAGATCAAATATTTATAATGTGGATCTTGAAGAAGTTTATTGACATCCGTAAAGAATTGTAGCATATTCCAGAATATACAGTGATGAGTCATCATGGTTCCCATTTTCCAGTAACTCAAATCGTAGTTGAGAAGATCAACAGACTCTTTAATTCTGCAGCTGATATATTCTACCTCAACAGATCAACTGTAAAACAAGACAATGTCTTTTCATTTTTCTGATTAGTGGCTCAAGCCTCGTATCATTTTGGCAGGAGCATAATTTTTTTATCTCTAGGATTCTCTCTACTTCTATGAAAATTTCAGCTCTCCCAGAACCTCCACAGCCTGGTGCATGAATCCTAGATATAATCACTTGGTTGAAAGAAAACTGGGGTAACTACTCAGTACCTCAAGAACTCTATCCTTGATTTCCATTGTGACCATTGCTGTCTTAAAATGTCACTGCTGAAATGTAGCTTTCTAGTCCAGAATGGGAAAGGGGCAAATTTTTCTGTGAAACCAAGTGACTTCTTATCTCATAATGCTCCTCATTGACATAAGCCATTCTGAGGTGAGGGTCTTTCCTTGTGTTGTCCCTAACTATCCCAGGAAAAGACCTCTTGTTTCCTCGAATCTAGATACATCCCAAGGACATCCAGTGCTGCATCTTAGACTTCAGACCTTGTGTCACATTTAAAGCCCATGGCCTGGGTTATCTGGGTCTTCAGTATGAGGTGTCTACCATGCAGGCTTCTAGCTCTGCTTTACTCTACATGCTCTCCATGAGGTTTGGTGTCTTTCAGAATTTTCCCCTGAAGGTTAATTTGAATGTCTGGGAGGGTTTAAATGCCCGGATGTCCGTTTTTTGAACTTAATGGCAGAAACCTAGCCCTTCCCTCTAGAATCCTAAGGAGAATGAACGATTTCTCTGAATCCTTTGACTTAGCCATATTCAAGGATTCTCAGCCAGTTTGTTATAGTATCCCCTGTGGTTAAACCACTTAATGGGAGCTATTTTTAGGTGGACAGATACTTTGTGTTTACCGGGCATGCCCACATTGATCACATCCCTTGATGCCTGTTTTGCAGTTCTTGTCTTCAAGCACACATACATCACACTTACATATCACTATTAAGAGAAGCAGAGATGTAGCTCTGGAAGACTTGTTGGATTTCCCATTTTTCTTCTGACTTTATAGTGGGAGAGATTTTCCCAACTTCCAATTCCCTCTCACATCTCAAAGTAGAGATCAATGAATAACCACTTCTCTTCTCATATGTGGAGCACCTATTTTCAATCATAAATGATGAAAACTACATGCTGATCTTTATTCTTATTTTTAAAATAGTTTTCTATGGCTAGAGTGCCCTTAGCCAAATTTTATTAGGTGAATGTTTCACTTTAAGGCCTTTCAAAGGGGATAGTGTATAGTCCAGGACTTATATATTTCCTGGCTAAATGGGAGACTTCATTAAGTGATCCACTCTCAACATCTTACCAGGATCAGAGCAGATGCCAAGAGGAAATGGGAAGATTGAGGAGTATTCGTTTCAATATGTTTTGAATTTTTGTTTGCCTTCTAGTTCTAAGTCTCTAGTCCTAAGATGAGATTCTGCAGAACCACTGAAGTGAACGAATTAGTGCATCAAGATTCCGACATACCCAAGGTTGCAGCTCTCAGGCTAAAAGGACAAAGAGGTTTTCCACATTTAACAAGATGTTCATTGTTCTGTGTTACTTCTACATCAGTTTTCCAAGTAAGAAAGTTTTTCTGCGAGGTGCTTTGAGATCCTGTTTCACAGTTAGAAGCAATATCTTAAAATCTCATAGTCAGCCCGTACCTACATTCAATCACAAACAAGAACAACAAAAAATCTACAATGCTTGTTTGTTCTTTTCCTCTTCTGAAGACTAGCCTAATCGTGGTCTACTCTTGGGGGCTTGAGATGACTTTCTTTTGCTACCTTCCCAGGCTGGGTGGACAAATATGGGAGCGGTAGAGTGCAGAAGACTACAGCCCTTACAGAGAATTTGAATTGAATTGAAATCCTAAACAGACTGAATGATGACCCCCAAAGAGACAATTTTAAACTAGAAGGGACTTAGTCACCTCCAGTGGAGACTCCAGAATTACTATATTTACAGGTTAGAGATAGAAATCATACTGGGAGGGAGGAGTAGAGTACAATGAAGTTGATTTATATGGAATTATAACCATTCCATTTAAATGTCAAGATTAAGAAATGCTCAACATCAGTGGAAATGATAGCACTAAAGCCAACATAATGTAGTAAACATCATTAGCACCTATGAAAATGGTATCTGCTCCTTTGAGACACATGTTCCTGTAAAGTTTTGGGCTAAGCCATGCCACTTGTTTGGACATTGAAAAATGACTAGGAATGATATATATCACATGTAGGTAGAAGCATTCAGGGGCTGTAGCACAATTCTCCTGCTGTCTTTGTCCATCAATGCAAACTCTGAAGATTTATATTCAGATGGTGTTGTCATAAGATGATGGAGATTTACCACCTTGGGATTGTGAGTGATTACAACAGATTCACACATGATGAGTGGAACATAAACCTTTGTTATTTTGACCCATTGAGTGGGGATTCTTTAGGATGATAGCATATACTGGTTGATAAAGGTGTTCAGTTACAGACACATAAAGTTACAATCTTGAACATATAATTTTATGATTGTAAATTTCTAACTGGCTACACATCTATTTAACTTCTGTGAATTGAACTATAGCTGCTCAGCGAGAGAAATAATAATTTCAAAACGTGGCTAATTAACCCTGATCTCTTTTAAGAAACACCCACCCCAAACTGTGATGTCAACTTGCTGTTTCTCTATGGGTTTCAGTTGTCCTGGGCTGCACACACTTGTAAAAATCTTGCAGAGTGAGGGACTCTAGCTTTTAGAGATAGAAATTATTTCATATAGGATAACCCAAATGTAAACCAATTACTTCATATGAAGTTTTGCCAATGAAACACCAATGATTCCCCTGATGAAGCAAGATATAGATTGTGCAACTGATTCCTCATGTTGTAGCAAATAGTTTGTGGATGGGACAGCAAGTCTCACAGGGATTGAACCCAGAGGTGCTCAACCTTTGACCCACATGCCACATCCCCTGCCTTTTTTATATTTTATTTTGAGATAGGATCTCACTAAGTTGTTCAGAGCCTTGTAATGTTCCTGAGGCTGGTTTTAGAACTTGCAATCCCCCTGTCTCAGCCTCCAAAGTTGCTGGGATTATGGTGATTCCGTTACCCCTGGCAGGGATGAACTTTTAAAACAGGATAATTTAGGAAAGGACTTAATTTTTATAGATCGAGTATCCTTTGGGTGGCAGAAATGGAGCGGGGCATTTTACATATTCCTAGCAGGGTGGTCAGTAACTACAGTCTTCCTAAATTAACACTAATTTAGGAATTATAGAATCCATCATAGAATCACAGATTATGAAATAAGGCAAAAATGTGTGAGCTGGATTTTAAAAACTTAAATTTTGGTTCCTTTATGTTCTTGGGCAGGGGATTTGTGGTGCTTTCCCCAACTTGTATTAGTCAATTCATGTCAAAATATTGATCCTTCCAACCCAAACTCTTAGGGCATATTTATTCCAGGACAGCTTATTTCTTTTCTTTGCTTGTTTATGTATTTCAGTGCACAATAAGAGGTTTGCAAAACCACATTATTACCTTTTAATTATTTACTAAAAATTTGTTTTGCAGTGAGAGGGACTGAACTCAGGACCTTGCATATGCTAGATAAATATTCTACTATGATATTCTTAGCCCTTATTGGGATATGTCTCAAATAAACACATCATAACATTTGAATTGATGGTATTATCAGATACTATGTATTTGTTCTAGTGATGTTTCCGGGGCTGAGAAGTACTAGGCTGTGGATTTCCTTCTGGAAATCCGCTTGGCATTATTATAATTTGGGAGAGTTTCAGAACCAGCAAATAACCCACTATAAAGAAGTAGTATGGAAAATATCCAAAAGTTCAGTTGACACTATTATTACATGTTAAAGGGATGAAGTAATTCCTTCTGAGGAATCAGAATAGGAGTTAGTCAGGATTGACATTTTTGGTTGGAGTTCAGCATGCCAACTGTGCTAGTTAGGGAAGAAGGGCTAAAGTCACATGAGAACTGGAGTCACAAAGGTAAGCTGGGGAAGAACATAAAAGGACTGTAGGAACTTGAGTCCTCTGAGGAGCAGGTGCAAGGTGAGATTCAAAGGGTTAGGCAATTTTGAGGGGAAATACTCACATGAGATAAAACGGGTAGGGTGACTTGGAGGGTCCTCAGACCTCCATGCAAGTCTAATCCCGAGTGAGGGAGAGAAGAGGAGAATGGGTGAAAGCTTCCTAGATTCCCATGCAATCCAGGGGAGGTTAGGCAAGGTCACTAGGAGCCCTCAAGCCAAAGTTCCACATCTCTGGAAATGTTACTTGCCTTGGTCCACTGTGGGCTGGGAACACTCGGTGGCAGAGGCTTGACCTCCATGAGTAGCACAGTAGTTAAGGACTTTGTCAATTATGCTGCTGCTTAATTACCCTTATTGGAGGTCTGCAAAGTACACTTCCTTGACTTGTTGGTAAAAGTGAGAGTCCATTGAGAAGAACTCTGAGGGGCTGGACTACAGCCCCCAAATATCAATGCCTGAAGAACTTACTGAGTAAGAACTAGGCTATAAAGACAGAATCCTCACGGGCTCACTGATGGAGTAGGAGGTGGGAGATCTCAGGCCTGGGGGTCACTGACACTAGGCAATTAAGACGGAGGACCCTGTGGGGTGCTGGCTCCTCTGCTGCTGCCCACCCTCTGAGCCCAGCTCCAGGCCAGGGCCTTTTTACTTCCCAAGCAAGCTCTTGAAAGGTGTCTGATGGATTCTGAAGCTGTACAGAGTTGGTTTCAATTGTGAAAAATGAGATGCGATCCATCTAGTGAGGCTCTTTTCTGGTGGAACTAGTAAACAGCCTTGAAAGATAATGTTCCAGTTCCAGAAATAGTTTGATCTATGGCAGCGTTGTTAGAATAACTGTTTATTTTCCCAAAGGGACTATTTGGAAAGGAACGCTGCTCATTTGATCACATAAGTTCTAGTGCCTGTGTTTTAAAATATGACTTATTATTACTTAATTAGTGCCTTATTACTTTTTAGGAGTACCTCACAACTGATTTTTCTCTCTCCACTTATTTAACACTTATATACTCCTGTTTATAATATATTTGACTACTTCTGATTACTCTCAGGAGGTGGCTTCAAACAGGCAACACTTTCTCCCTCATCCCAGCCCCAAGGAAGAGGTCCTGATGCTAAATGTTAGGAGGTCAAGCCTTTCTTTCCTCCTTGGGCAGGATGGTGCTGAGAGACAGCCTTTCCTCAGTGGCTTCCCTGCTTTCTCTCACGCTGCTTAGTTGAACCAAGCAAAATTCTCTGGTTCTGCTCACTGTCCTTCATAGATTGCATCAAGTTAGAGCAAATCTCCATGAAGTTGGCCCAGGATATAGGGGAAAGGTAAAGATTGCCCACTGCCCTTCCTGGTATGTAAAATCTAGCATATAGAATTTTGAGGTGTTGGTATAAGGCACTAGGGAGTCTGGCCTATTTGGGATACCAGAGGATGAAGCATATTCTCTGGAGAAAGAGGTGAATACCAACTCCCTCAATCAAATCTTTCCACTGTCACATAAATGGCATAGAATTATGCCGGACAGGGGCCAAATTGGAAGATGGGGATTCAGGAATTCTAATCTATAGAAAGTTATGAAAGTACTTCTCTGTGCTTGTTTTGTTCTCTCTGTGCTTTGTTCTTGCACATGATTTGAAGTGAGGAGCATGGAGTCCTTGCCCACCCTGATAGAATGAGGTGTTTTTAAGTGGCCAATAAAATCTCCTAAGATTCTGCATGAAAAAAAATCTGTCATAAGTCACTGTATGTCATAACCATAGGAATTGTGTGACAATGGAGGTGATGTCCAATCAAAATCAGTATTCAGGATTCTATGTCTAGGAGAGGAGGACATGATAAGGATACTCAGCCTAACGTCATAGAAGTAATAGCAACCTCTTCAAAGTGGAAAATTCTAGACTAAGCGCAAGTTTTCCTTCTCTTGAGGGAGGACTAACTTGGGTGATCCACCATTCAGAAAACTGTTAAGAGACTGGCAAAGGTGAAATGTTGGCAGGAGGAAAGGTCCTAGAGACAACTTCAGTCATTCCTCACAAATCAAGCTTCCTGGTCACACATCATAGTTGTGTAGACTCTTAGCACTGGGCAAAGTATTTCAGAAGATGCTCAGATTTGACCAAGATTTGACCAGAATGACTCTTCTCCTTCAGCATTTTGGCACAAGTGAAAAAACAAATGTGTTCCTCTAGCAAAGGTGTTTATGGTTGGAACCTGGATCCTGTTTTGAACTGACAGTCATCTCTGAGGAACCTCTAGGGTCCTAGGAACCCACCTGTATATGCTATTGCCTGATGCTCTTATGCTACTTGTTAAGGTTTGAAGAATGTTAAGGTTGAAGAATTCATAAGAATGCCCTCTGCAAAACTCACTTTGGAATCTAAATCCCAGAGCATATTAAGAGGTGGGGCCTTTAGGAGGTAATTAAGCCATGAGGGTGGAGCCTTCATGAATGCAGGAGGGACTGTCTGGGCCTCTTTCTGCCTTTCCATCCCCTCTGCCATGTGAGGACACAGGGTTTGTTCCATCTGGAGGATGCACCATCTTGGGAACAAAGAGCAGCCCTAGCCAGACACCAAACCTGCTGGTACCTTAATCTTGGGTCCCAGAACTTCTGTTCTCCAAAAATTATGCAGCCTCAGGTATTTTGTTAAAGCAGCACAAGTGGACTAAGATATTATCTAATACTTTGGTAGGGATTGGAGCTGAAATCCGAGCTCAGGTTGGATGGATCCCCTGCCCTTGCCATTCCCAACAGGGTCTTCTTATTAAGTTTTCTGTGCCTGCTTCACAGAGAGCTTCCTGACTTCACACTCTGCAGAAACAGCCGAGCTCGGGTCCCAGCCCCAGCACCCTTTCTTGTGTTGGCTGTCTTTATTTCCATTGCATCACTAAACACCACCAGAAACTCTCTTCTTTATTTTTTACTTATTTATCATCAACCTTCAACTTCTAGAAACTTGAAGAAAACAAGGACTATATATCTGTCTTGTTCAGTGCTGCTGTTTGCATGACATGTCAGGTAATGTTTGCTCAGTGATGGTTAAACTCAACACTCAGGATGTGCTTATGTCAGGGAGTTAGTTGTTAAGTAGAAACTTAAGCTCTGGATTCTGAAATCCAGTCATCCAGGGATTTATGTTTATTTTTTTATCTGTTTATTTTTCCAAAATAAGATTTTGAGAAAGACTGGTATCACATTTCCATTTCAGAGATCAGAAAATCAAGGGCCACAGGAAGAGTGCTGGCTGTTTACATCATCACACACATGCTTTGTGGTGTGTTATCAGTATGATCTCTTCTGTTGTGCACAAACTTTTCCACTAGTAGGTTTTCTTTAAGAGAAACTAAACTTTACTCTTTCCTTATCCCTCATACCAATAATAGTCTGTACAACAAAGTAGACTTATTATAGAAGGAGTTGAGGGATGACATGGTGTTAATTCTGCTAGTTAGTCTTCTCTGTAATTCCTCTGAGATTCAGGAAAATATTTTTAAAAATATTTCCCCAAACATAGTATTGTGTATGTTCCTGTTTTGCTGATCTGCTTCCTAAACTGTCTGTCACCTAAATATCTTGACCTTCTCCCAGTGGAGGTTTCCCACTCTAGCCATCCTGGGCTGTGAAATAGCAGATGAGAAAGAGCTGGACTTGGTCTCACAGTCACAAGTATGGAACATTTGGCCTCCAGCACTAAAAATGACCTGGGCTAATTTCCAGAGTGCTTTTCTTCCCATCTCTTTAGCACTATGCTGTCATACGACCCTTTCAGCTTTATGAGCACTACAATGAGTGACCATGGACACCTCTCT